CTGTTGTAGTCCTGATATAGTCCCTGTAGTCCTGTTGTAGTCCTGTTGTAGTCCCGTTGTAGTCCTGTTGTAGTCCTGTTGTAGTCCCGTTGTAGTCCTGTTGTAGTCCTGATATAGTCCCGTTGTAGTCCTGTTGTAGTCCTGTTGTAGTCCCGTTGTAGTCCTGTTGTAGTCCTGATATAGTCCTGTTGTAGTCCTGATATAGTCCTGTTGTAGTCCTGTTGTAGTCCTGTTGTAGTCCTGTTGTAGTCCTGTGTAGTCCTGTATGTAGTCCTGTTGTAGTCCTGTTGTAGTCCCGTTGTAGTCCTGTTGTAGTCCTGTTGTAGTCCCGTCGTAGTCCCGCTGTAGTCCTGTTGTAGTCCTATTGTAGTCCCGATGTAGTCCTGATATAGTCCCAATGTAGTCCTGTTGTAGTCCTGATGTAAACCCGATGTAGTCCCGATGTAGTCCTGATGTAGTCCTGTTGTAGTCCCCATGTAGTCTTGATGTAGTCCTGGTTTAGTCTAAGTTTAGTTCTGGTTTAGTTGGTCAAAAACAGTGACACCTGGAACATTTCTTGTATAAAACCGGGACAAATCAGTGGTTTTGTATAAATCTGCAGGGACAGGGGGACACAGGCTCAAAACTGGGACTGTCCCGGGTAAACAAGGACGTCTGGTCACACTACATAGAGGCACATGTAGAGCCTCCCCGTCCGTCGTGTTGTCCTCTCATGTTGTCTCTCTTGTGTGGGACGTGAGCGCTGAGGATGAGGTCACGATCCACAGAACAGAGACGCTTCTGTGCGAGAAACAAACACCATCTTCTGTGCACACGTGTGTCAGCTGCTGCTGCTGCTGCTGCTGCTGCTGCTGCTGCTGCTGCTGCTGCTGCTGCTGCGTCCAGGGCATCCGGCTTAAAAACACAAACTCAACACTTGAACTGCTGAAACCAAGATTTAAAGTTGTTATAATGTTGTTTCCTCGTCACAAACAGACCTGGAGTTGTGTTTTGTTTCATTCACACGTGTTTGAGTTCTTCTCTTGAACAGAAAACACTCTGTTCCACCTTGTGATGTCATTAAGTGGTGATACAGAAAGTGCTCCACTGTGTTTTTAAACTCCATACACCTTCATTAGAATCATTTGGATCATTTCAGCTCTGCGCAGCAAAAACTTGAGGGTTAAAATTTCAGAGTAAAATATTTCTGAGTTGTTTTTTAACTCAAAAAAAGTGTTTAATTTAACTATTTGAAAGTTAAATGGAGGTTCGAGTTGGGGTTATTTGCCAAAGTTGATATGGTTAATTGAACTTTCTGTAGTATTAATTCAACATCCTCTAGTGTTAATTCAACTTTGCCTAGTGTTAATTCAACTTCCACTAGTGTTAATTCAGTTTTCCTTAGTGTTAATTCAACTTCACTTAGTGTTAATTCAACTTTCCCTAGAGTTTTAACCAGTTTTGTTCGTAATTTCATCTTAAATTAACTAAAATAAAGTGTAAAAATAAAACAACTCTGTGTGTTTTTTTTTTTTAGCTAAATCAGGATAACTCTGCAAAGTGTTATCCGTTTACTCTCAAAACGTTGATTTATCTCTTGATTTTGGGATTAAACAGGAACTTCTAGTGTTACTTAATTAAAATTTATTTCCAAAAAATGTTAAATTAACTCTAGAACGGAGTGGACTCACATAAACCCTGAGAAAATGTTAAAATTGATTCGGTTAGAGTCAGTTTTAACACTCCACTTTTTGTCAATCTCTACGGAACTAAAGATAAAAGTAGATGTTAATTTGAAAACGACCGCTTCATGACGTCACGAGGTGGAACGTAGCATTTTGAGCCAACTAATAATAAAGTGTTACTCAAACATGTGTGAATGAAACACAACAAAACTCCAGGTGTGTTTTTGATATTTTTCTCACTATATTTTATTTAATTTTGTCGTATTTTGGTTCGTCAGACATTTTTCGTGATCTTTTTGAATCGCGTCTTTTCCAGAATTTCTGCACAGTCCCGTAAAACTCACCGCGGTCCATTCAGAAGCGGAGTGTGCGCCCGTCACTCCTGCGCATGCGCGGGGGTAACGTGAAGCCAGCGCGTTTCAGAGCGGCGAGGACAGGAAGTGGAACAGTGGAGATTTCAAAATAAAATATCTTCACATATTTGAGATTAGACACGTGTAACGAAATCACTAAAATCGCGTCTTTTCAACAGACAAATGTGATGACTTTTAACTTAAAAGGCTTAAATATAAACCTGACTTTATATTAATAGATAAAACATGAACTTTAACTTGTTGGGTTGTTTTTTAAAGACAATACAGTAAAGTGTTGGTGGCTTGTATAGGGTGTTTGTTTACCCGGGACAGTCCCAGTTTTGAGTTTCGTGTCCCCTGTCCCAACAGATTTATACAAAACCATTGATTTCTCTCACTTTTGTACAAGAAATGTCGCAGGTGTCCCTATTTTTGACCAATTTAATCCCTGACGACAGTACAAAGAGGCATGGATTATCACTTGTTTAGGTAAAATACAGAAAATCTGCTTAAAAATGACCAAAACACAAAGAAAATGTGACTATACTGACACAAATATACAAAAAATTGTTCTTAATTCAAAGTTTATTATTACCAAGCACCACAAACCAGGAGTGTCCCAGTTTTTTTATTTTGAAACTCAGGTCAGCCTAGACTTTACTTTACTCTATTGTATTGTCTTTAAAAATGTACTCAAGAAGTTAAAGTACTTAGAAAGTCAAAATAAACATCTTTGGTTTGGGGAAAACATGAAATTGGTTGTGAAATATTCAGCAAATGATATTTAAAAATTCATTCAAAAATAAAACAGTTTAATATGAAAGTCCTGACCTCAGCTGACAGCAGATCTGAGGCTCTTCCAATCACCAACTATTCATCCACACTCCACACATATTAAAGCAAAACCCTCCTGACAGACCCTCCACCAGAAAAGTTACACAGTGCACCTTTAAAGCAGCCCTGTGTAACTGGAGGTGGCTGTGTGATTTCATTAAAATAGAAACAGTAAAATATTTAAAACCACACTTTGGAACATTCTCTACAGCAGGGGTGGGCAATTCTTTTTTCAAATGTTTAACTCAGTTCTGCATAATATTAATTGTATTTCTTTATAAAAAGCAGTAAATATCATTGTTTTGATGAGCTGCTCAGACTGGGAAGAGTTTATTTTATGATTAAGCCATGAAAAAGTGAGGTTGACTTACAAAAAATGTTATTTAAAAACACCTTGAAAATAAAAGTAATGCAGCTTTAGTCCATGCTGTCTATTCATCCATATTCTTCCGTTTATCTGGGAGCATCAGTCTAAACAGGGACTCCCAGACTTCCTTCACCCCAGACACTTCCTCCAGCTCCTCCAGGGGACCTCGAGGTGTTCCCAGGCCAGCCCAGAGACATAGTCCCTCCAGCGTGTCCTGGGTCTTCCCCAGGGTCTCCTCCTGGTGGGACATGAACACCTCCCGAGGGAGGCGCCCAGGAGACATCAGAACAGATGCCCGAGCCTCAATTGCTCCTCTCGACATGAAGGAGCAGCGGCTCTACTCTGAGCTCCTCACCCTGTCTCTAAGGGAGCGCCCAGTCACCCTGTGGAGGAAACTCATTTTGAGTGATTTTATCTGAGATCTCGTCCTGTCAGTCATTACCCAGAGCCAGTCCATGCACAAGGTAAAATGATAAAATATGTTTATTTTGTAGTTACAAATGAGCTTAAAGGGCTGGACAGAGTCAAAGGGATGTAAAAATGCATATAGAGAAAGACAACACTAGTCACACAAACCTTGGAGACGAGCAGGACTAGAGGCCCTGCTCCAGGTCAAATACGAGTCAGGTCTGTGGAGTTACAGTAAGGCACTGTACAGTAAGTACAGTGTTTTTTAGATGTAAAGATTATGTAATGGGACATTAAGTGTTCTAAGAGAGACATGTCAAATTCAGGCCCAGGGGCCAAACTTGGCCCATATAATTATATTTGGCCCTTGAGATCAAATCAAATATGTATTAGAACTGCTCACTGGCTACAGATAGACTGTAGAGACATTATTTATTTAAAATGTTATTATTTTATATTTTGCTTGTTCTGGATTCAATGTTTAAGCAAAAATATTATAAAAAAAATAATAAATTTAATATTACATATCTTGAAAGAAGAGAAAACATGCAGATGTTGTTGAAATTTTTCAATAAATATTTACTTTGGCCCACGACTTAGTCCCAGTTTTTTATTTTGACCTCTGTGAGTTTGAGTTTGACACCGCTGCTCTGAGATGTCAGATTATCACGAGGGGAACAGAGTGTCAGAGTATCAGAGTATCAGAGTATCAGAGTATCAGAGTATCAGAGTATCAGAGTATCAGAGTATCAAAGTGTCAGAGTATCAGAGTATCAGAGTATCAGAGTATCAAAGTGTCAGAGTATCAGAGTATCAGAGTATCAGAGTATCAGAGTATCAAAGTATCAGAGTGTCAGAGTATCAGAGTATCAGAGTATCAGAGTATCAAAGTGTCAGAGTATCACAGTATCAGAGTATCAGAGTATCAGAGTATCAGAGTATCAGAGTATCAGAGTATCAAAGTATCAGAGTATCAGAGTATCAGAGTATCAGAGTATCAGAGTATCAGAGTATCAAAGTGTCAGAGTATCATAGTGTCAGTGAGCGCAGGGGGCACGGGCCAACTCTTGTGAGGGACGTTTTATTTTCACGCCCAAACCGGAAGCGCGGGTGCGTGTGCGCGCGCGCTGACGCAGCCAGCGGAGCGGCAGCAGCGGCAGCATCACTCCGTCCCGTCCCGTCCTCAGATCACACCCAGCGGGGCCACAGCGCCATGATCCCCGGGGTCCCGTCCGCTTCGTGAGCGAGACCCCTCCGCACCGCTACATGCACGTGCACCGTGAGCTCTCCGCCGCGCGCACTGGGATTTACCGCCACGGGGCCCTCACCCTGAAGCCCGGAGCAGGAGGCAGCATCCCCCGGCCGTAACGGAACATGACATCCGCGGGGAAGGAGGCCAACAGCGGCCACTACACCAACTACGTGGGCCCGTACCGCCTGGAGAAGACCCTGGGCAAGGGGCAGACCGGTGAGTGTCGCGGTTCGTGCGGCCGGGAGAGGTGCAGGGGGGACGGGGAGAGGAGGAAGAGGAGGAGGAGGAGGAGGAGGAGGAGGAGGAGGAGGAGGAGGAGGAGGAGGAGGAGGAGGAGGGGGCCGCTGCTCTGACATCACCGGTGCTCCTCTGACTGCGGGAAAATGGGAGAACTGCGGCGCTGTGACGCGGCTCGGACACGGTTGCATCATCGCTCGCGCCTCGTCATCGCCGCGGACGCTGATCCCGCGCGCGGTGGAACCTGCGCGCGTGCGTCTTTTTCACGCTGTTGTCAGGCAGAGCGCGCGCGGTGCTGCTGCTGCTGTTCGGTCCGTCTGTCACGCACAAGCACGCACGCACTCACGCACACGCACGCACACACGCACTGCAGCGGAGGTACGGCTGGTGCAGTGCGCGTGCAGGTGCAGGGGCTCGTGCAGGTCCAAACGCGGCGCGGGTCTCGGGGCGCGTGCGGGGGGGAGACGGACCCGGAGAGGTCCCAGGACACACCGGGACCGTGTGCACGCGCTCTGGGCTCACGGAGGAGCTGTCCCGGTCTGAAATACACAGAACCATCCTGTTTGAGACCAGAGTTCAGTTTAGTCCTGGTCCAGTCCTGGTTCAGTTCTGGTTCAGTCCTGGTTTAGTCACATATCAGCCCTTAGCCCCATTTCAGTCCTGGTTCTGGAGGCTGTGGTACAGTGTTGGGGTCTTGGCTCAGTCCTGGTTCAGTCCAGGTTTAGCTCTGCCCTGGTCCGGTTTGTAGTCTTGGTTTAGTCCTGTTTTGGCACTTGTTCAACTCTAGCTTTGCCCCATTTCTCTATTCGTTGTCCAGTTTTGCTTCAGTCCTGGATCAGTTCTGGGTTAGTCCTGGTTCAGTTTCATTCTTCAGTCCTGATTTAGTCCTGGTTTAGTCCTGGTTTAGTTCTAGTTCAGTCCTGGTTCAGTCCTGGATCAGTTATGTTCTTCCATCCTGTATTAGTTCTGGTTTAGTCCTGGTTTTAGTCCTGGTTCCATCCTGGTTTAGTCCCAGTTCAGTCCCGGTTCAGTCCTGGTTCAGTTCTGTTCTTCAGTCCTGTTTTAATCCTGCATTAGTTTTAGTTCAGTCATGGTTTTAGTACCAGTTCAGTCCCAGTTCAGTTTTTTCTTTCTGGTTTAGTCCTGGTTTGGCTGCAGCTCCGTGGTCCTCAGTGAAGTCTTGGATTTGTAGATGATAAATCTGGTCTCTCGGACATGGTCTGGTCTCTGATCCGGTCTCAGGTCTGGTTTCTAGTCTATGGTCTCTGGTCTCAGGTCTGGTTTCTAGTCTCTGGTCTCTGGTCTCTGGTCTGGTCTCCTGTCTCAGGCCTCAGGTGTGTGTGTCAGCAGTACTTTTGGCTCAGCTCTTTTTATTGTCACTGCACTGGTTTAGTCCTGATTTAGTCCTGGTTCAGTCCTGGTTTAGTCTTGGTTTAGTCCTGGTTCAGTCCTGGTTTAGACTTGGTTTAGTCCTGGTTCAGTCCTGGTTTAGTCTCGGTTTAGTCCTGGTTCAGTCCTGGTTTAGTCTCGGTTTAGTCCTGGTTCAGTCCTGGTTTAGTCGTTTAGTCTGGTTTAGTCCTGGTTCAGTCCTGGTTTAGTCTCGGTTTAGTCCTGGTTCAGTCCTGGTTTAGTCTCGGTTTAGTCCTGGTTCAGTCCTGGTTTAGTCTTGGTTTAGTCCTGGTTCAGTCCTGGTTTAGTTCTGGTTTGGCTGCAGCTCCCTGGTCCTCAGTGAAGCCTTGGATTTGTAGATGATAAATCTGGTCTCTGGTCTCAGATCTGGTCTCAGTTCTGGTCTCTGGTCTCAGGTCTGGTCTCTGGTCTCTGGTCTCCGGTCTCCGATCTTTGGTCTCAGATTTTGTCTCTGGTCTCTGGTCTCAGGTCCTGTTTCAGATCCGGTCTCTGGTCTCAGGTCTCAGATCTGGTCTCTGGTCTCTGGTCTCTGGTCTCAGGTCCTGTTTCAGATCCGGTCTCTGGTCTCAGGTCTCAGATCTGGTCTCTGGTCTCTGGTCTCTGGTCTCAGGTCCTGTCTCAGATCCGGTCTCTGGTCTCAGATCTGGTCTCTGGTCTCTGGTCTCAGTTCTGGTCTCTGGTCTCAGATCTGGTCTCAGATCTGGTCTCAGATCTGGTCTCTGGTCTCAGATCCGGTCTCTGGTCTCTGGTCTCAGGTCCTGTCTCAGATCCGGTCTCTGGTCTCTGGTCTCAGATCCGGTCTCTGGTCTCTGGTCTCAGGTCTCTGGTCTCAGATCCAGTCTCTGGTCTCAGGTCTGGTCTCTGGTCTCTGGTCTCTGGTCTCTGGTCTCAGATCCGGTCTCAGGTCTCTGGTCTCAGATCCAGTCTCTGGTCTCAGATCTGGTCTCAGATCCGGTCTCTGGTCTCAGATCTGGTCTCTGGTCTCTGGTCTCAGATCCGGTCTCTGGTCTCAGGTCTCTGGTCTCAGATCTGGTCTCAGTTCTGGTCTCTGGTCTCAGGTCTCAGATCCGGTCTCTGGTCTCAGGTCTCTGTCTCAGATCCAGTCTCTGGTCTCAGATCTGGTCTCAGTTCTGGTCTCTGGTCTCAGGTCTCAGATCCGGTCTCTGGTCTCAGTTCTGGTCTCTGGTCTCAGATCCGGTCTCTGGTCTCAGATCTGGTCTCAGTTCTGGTCTCAGTTCTGGTCTCTGGTCTCAGATCTCGGTCTCTGGTCTCAGATCTGGTCTCAGTTCTGGTCTCAGTTCCGGTCTCTGGTCTCAGATCTGGTCTCAGATCCGGTCTCTGGTCTCAGTTCTGGTCTCAGTTCTGGTCTCAGGTCTCAGATCCGGTCTCTGGTCTCAGGTCTCTGGTCTCAGATCCGGTCTCTGGTCTCAGTTCTGGTCTCTGGTCTCAGTTCTGGTCTCTGGTCTCAGGTCTCTGGTCTCAGATCCAGTCTCTGGTCTCAGATCTGGTCTCAGTTCTGGTCTCTGGTCTCAGTTCTGGTCTCTGGTCTCAGGTGTGTGTGTGTCAGCAGTACTTTTACTTTTGGCTCAACTCTCTCTTTATTATTTCTGCATTTGTGCAAAAATATCAAACAGATTCGCTCCGTTTGTGCGGCGAGATTATTTTCATCGCTCTCTGTTTCTAGACACAGTAGTTCTTCTGCTTTAAAACCTCCAACTTAACATAAACTAACTTAAATCCTGAACATCTTTTAGTTCTGATCAAGATTTATTCACTTTTTTTTGGGCTTTTTTCCTGGTTAGTTTCAGTCTGTTTGCATTTTGAACTACGATTTTCAGTTTTGTAGTTTTTAAAGCGACAACAGAAAACTTTAAACATGTAAAAACAGCTGCTAAAGGTTTAAGAACTACAAAAAAGGACACAGAAAATAAATAAATAAAGCCGTACAATTGGACTACGATGATGAATGGAGGTAATTTTGCTAAACGCTGACGTCCTTTAATCGTATTTTGATAATCATGAATCTTTATTTGGACCAAAACAGACTCTAAAAACACAAACAAAAGACCTTTTCATAACCGAGACATCAGCTTTATTAAATTAACATGTCAAAAAATCTATTCTATATTTTAGGTTTTTATCAGTAATTCACTTTAGATGTTTATTTCAGCGTATTTCAGCTTTTATTTTGGTTAAAGGATTCATGTTACTTGATTTTCTGATTTTCTGACAGACCTGGAGTTGTGTTTTTTTTGTTTTATTCACATGTTTAACACACAAACTCTGAAGATTTAGGCTGAGTTCTTCTCTCAAAAAGGAAAATGGTCTGTTCCACCTTGTGATGTCATGTGGTAATACGGGAAGTGTGTGTTTTTAAACTCTTAAAACTCTTAACTCTTTAAACTTTAATACACAAATCAAGAATCTCAGACTTCCGGTCATCGCGCAATTCATACTGGGAAGGATTTTCAGAATAAGTGAGCATCAAACCTCCATGTTTGTTTTCCCAGTGGGATGCGTCTGTTGGCAAAGTCGATCTTTTCAAGTCTTTTGAACCATATCACTTTTGTTTCTGGTTCTGATATTGTCATATTTTAGTTTTGGGATTTGGACGTCGTTAATTGTTGTGGTTGTTGGATCCAAACAGTGGAAAACGGCTCGAGAAATTTGTTTGCGAACAACATAAATGCAAAAGTGAATCAGATGTGTGTGACTCAAACCTCTGTTCAAACTGTTTCTCTTCCCAACGGAATTGAAAAATAGTGAAAGGTGAAGGCGATGGGCAGGATTGATCCACAGGAAGAACCAAAAAGGAAACAAATTAGACTAAATCAGGACTGAACCAGGACTGAACCAGGACTAAAACCAGGTCTAAACCAGGACTAAATCAGGATTGAACCAGGACTGAACCAGGTCTAAACTAGATCTAAACCAGGACTAAACCAGGACTAAACCAGGTCTAAACCAGGACTAAATCAGGATTGAACCAGGACTGAACCAGGTCTAAACTAGATCTAAACCAGGACTAAACCAGGACTAATGCTATGTCTAAACAAGGACTAAAACCAGGTCTAAACCAGGACTAAATCAGGATTGAACCAGGACTGAACCAGGTCTAAACTAGATCTAAACCAGGTCTAAACCAGGACTAAACCAGGAATAAACCAGGACTAATACCAGGTCTAACCCAGGACTAAAACCAGGACTAATACCAGGACTAAACCAGGTCTAAACCAGGACTAAACCAGGACTAATACCAGGTCTAAACCAGGACTAAACCAGGACTAAAACAGGATCTAACAGGACTAAACCAGGAATAAACCAGGACTAATACCAGGACTAAACCAGGACTAAACCAGGTCTAAACCAGGACTAAACCAGGACTAAACCAGGACTAAACCAGGACTAAACCAGGACTAAACCAGGACTAATACCAGGACTAAAACCAGGACTAATACCAGGACTAAACCAGGTCTAAACCAGGACTAAACCAGGACTAATACCAGGTCTAAAACCAGGACTAAACCAGGACTAAACCAGGACTAAACCAGGTCTAAACCAGGACTAAA